GCCCCACCCGTCCCCACCTGAGCAACCTGTGTGGGGTCTGCGCCCAGGCGTGCCTGCAGCTTCCGCACCATCACCTGCCGCTTCCACTCAGGGATGGGCCGGCCCCGCTCATCCCGCGTGGGCACCAGCCCGTCCAGGTCGCCGGAGGGCGGTCCATCCAGCTGCAGTGCGGCCAGGCCGTCCGGCGTGTCCCCCACCACTGTCTCTGCGCCCTGTGCAGAGGTGGGCAGATCACTCAGGCCCCTGAGGGCACCCTGCCCAGGAGAGGAGGGGTGCAGCCCAGGGAGGGGTGGGGGCTGGGGAGGCCACGGACAGCGCTCCCAGCCTGGTAAGTGTGAGTTTTCTGAGCACAGGAACCTGAGGTGTCCCCAGTGAGACCCAGCAGTATGTGTGGGGTGGGGGATCGCTGGCTGAGAGGCAACCAGAGAGTCCTCCTGCTCTGCTGTATCTGGCCAGGAAGAAGGTGCCCAGAGCATGCCATGCAGATGGGCAAACTCATTTGTGTAACAGTTGCACAGACAAAGTCTGGGGGCCAACCTGGGGTGGGACTTGTCAGAGCCTTTAACCTGCTGTGCAGCACTGTAACTCTCCAAGAGGGGGCAGCACTGTGCAGCATTTCCCAAAATTGCACAGAACACCTCAGGCACTGAGAGTTCCCAGGACTCCAAGGAAAGGGTGGGCTGGGTTTGCAAGGCCTCGCGCCCAGAAAGGGAACGAGCAAGGAAGTGGGCCCCCTCCCATGGGTCCTGGGCTGGCAGGAAGCCCGAAGGAGGAGGGCAGCGGGTGCCAGGCCCCACCCCCCCATGGACGTCTGCTTCTCTGTATCCTGACGGCAGCACCATGGGGGGGCATGAAGCATCCTGAGCTCAGAGGTCAGGAGGAGGGGGCTCCCTGGGGTCAGAGGAGGGTCCCATGCCTTCTGCGCTGGAATGACAAGCTGCTTGTGGTCCTGAACTTCCCATCTCCTCAGAACCCCGGGTGTTCTCCAGAGCCAGCCTGTCAACCCAGGCTCGACCTGACGTCCAGCTGTGAGGAAGGCCCCGGCCACCCCAGAAGTAAGCTGGCCTGGGCCCACACAGGAGAGCATGGTGGGCGGGCTGGGAGGCCTTGGGAGACGGGTGTGGAGAGTGTGTACGCACCGTGGGGACGGCCACGGCGCTGGTGCTGATCCCCAGGGGGACCGTGTGGGTCGTCTGCTCCCTCGGAGGGGGCTGGTCAGGCTGGCCAGGCCAGGCCGGGCTGAGAGACGCTGCTGCTGGGTGGGAGGAGCAGCTGGAGTCAGAGGGGCTTCCAGACAGGGCAGGGGCTGGGGAGTAGGAGGCCTGGGACATGGGGGCTCCCTGAAGGACACGGGACTTGGAGCCAAAGACCCAGCCAGGCCCCTCCCTGAAAAATCGCCCCAGGCACACGCACTTATCCCTGGGGCATCCACGGGCCTCGGGAGACCGACTGGTTGAAGAGTCTGCGTTTTACCCGCTCACCCCACGGCCAGTTCTCTGCCCCCCACCCCCACAGCCAGCGGTCTGGGGACCCGGTGCAGCCCATAGAACCAGGAAGCTGGTCCTCCGCCCCCAGTGCCCAGGACCCCACCACAGGCGCGTGCGCAGGGCCAACCCTGATGAACCCCTTCGCCCCGACCCTCACGGCCCTGCTGACCGCAGGGCGCCGGGAGCTGATGCTGCCCTCTCGGCTGCGCCAGCCCCTTATGACACAGGCTGGTCACGGAGCCCAGCGGGGGTGGCCTGCAGGGCAAGGACTGTCCCGGCCTGCTGGCACCTCAGGCAGCAGCAGCACATCCCACGGGGATTTGCCTCTGGGCAACCGAGGCCCGGGGGGGGGGGTTCCCAGTAACACACAGGCAGGAGCACCGGGCCCAGGCTCAGGGCTCACAGGGGCCGGGGCGGGAGACTGTTCCACTGCGACAAGCGCCCGGGTGCCCGCGTGGGAAACGCTGGTCTCACTTCAAAACAAGGACAACAAAGGAAACCTGGAGGAAGCTGGGGCTGGCAGTGGGAGGGGGACACCAGCCCAGTCCTGAGCATCCTGAGTGTCCTGGGCACAGCCGCCTGGAGTCAGCTACTCACCCCCCTACCCCCAAGGAGCTCGGGGGCGAGGCCAACAGTGCCCACCCCTGGCACCCGTGGCCCAGGCCCGTCCTCCCAGGAGAGGTGTACTCACAGGTGGGGCTCCGGAGACCAGAGCCCCCTCGTCCATCCTCTGGGGGGCGCCTCGCAGCTGACAGTGGAGGAGGG